GTAATTTGCTCAATAAGTATTGAATTGCAACAAAAAAAAAAAGAAAGAAAAAATCAAATTTAAAATTGAAGACAAGTAAAGAGAGCCGGCCCAGCACATGCAAATCGTATGGCAAATTCATATGCAAAGTTAGCCTGCACTTATAAATTAAATGCGACGAACGAACGAACGGGCGAATGAACGCACCAAGGGAATGCCAAACAAGCAGCAGCAGCGAGCGGACCTCGAGCATTTTGTTGTTGTGCTGCTGCTGCTGCTGCTGTTCATAATTATTTTCAAATAAATGCGCGCCAAGGCAACCGCCAATTGCAATTGCAATTTGCAATGCACGAAGTCGCGCAACTGAACGCAGCACTGCAACTGAGGCGAATGACCGTGCCTGACCCAAATAAAAGTCGCTGCACTCGCACACACAACAAAGGCGACAAATGCTCGCCTGCCTGCCCGCTCGCTCGCACGTACGCACGCACGCACGCTCTCTCTCGCTCGCTCACTCGCCTGCTCTCTCGACGTCGTCATCGTGTGCAAAAACAAAATTGCAGGCAAGAAGAAAAAGCGCAGCGCGCATTTAAAATGAGGCCGAGTGCAATGAACAGCATTCAGCGCACAAGAGAGCACTGCTGTATGTATGCGTGTGTGTTTGTGTGCTTGTGCGAGAGAGAGTGTAGGAGAGCGAGCCTATGCAAATGCAGTTCGGCTGCTGCTGCTGCTGCTGCAGCTGCAGTCGAACAAGTTGCGTTGCTGCCGTCGCTGAGATGTTGCAATGCGAAACCTTCGAGAAATTTTACAAGAGTCGTTGAACTCGCGCCATGTGTCGCTCGGTCGGTCGGTCGGTCGTTTAACTGTGCCCCAAAACGGCAGCAACGCCGATTGCAGCAATGTTGGCTGTGGCTCGACTTAACTCGGCTCGTCTCGTCTCGTCTCGGCTCCACTTGAAGCTTGAAACTAGTTTGATGCCGAGGCATTGAAAAAGCGAAAGTACATTTTTCTGCTGCCCGTCGCTCGTGTTCGTGCTCTTGTTCGGCTCTTGTAGTTGGCGCTCGTATAACGTTCGTTCGTTCGAGGTAAATGAACCTTTTGAAGGTTCAACTTGCGTAGTAGGCGAAGTCAACGTCGACGTCGACTGCATGCTGTGTAAAACAAGTTTGTTACGTTTGTTGCTGCTGCTGCGCTGCTGCTGCCTTTTTTTTCTGACTACTTTGTTTCGCGCTCTTTTCTTTGCAATTTCACCGTTAAGCCCACAAAGCAACAAATACAGGTGAAGCGCACAGACTTTATGTAACAGCGGCAGCGGTTGGGAAAGAGAAAGAGCAACAAAACTTGTCGCTGCTCGTTGCTCGCTTGTTGATGATGCGTGTCACGCGTAAACTGATTTCACTCACAAGAAACAAAAGTCAATTGTATAATAATAACAATAATGAGCACACCAATCTCTTATGTATGCAACACGAACATTAACATTACAAATTTCAATAGCGAAACGTTTTGTTAACCTTCCACAAGCTGCAACAGCAGTTCACACCTTAGCAAAAAGCAAAAGTCAACGATTCCAGTTCGAGTTCGAATTCGAATTCAAATTGCATTGAGAACACTCAACACAAACCCACCCACATTAAATGCACATCATTATTATCGTTAAGCATTTCAACTTCATCATTGGCTAGTTGTACTTGAAGCTTTTGACCCTCCCTCCTACAACCATCCTCCACCTAGCAAGCCCACACATGCTAAAAGCTGCACCCTCCACAAAGCGAGTTCACAGCTAGCCCAAACCCAAATCCAATTGGAGCCCAGGCCAATCATTTTTTTTTTCTAGTAGCCTCCAATATTATTTTAGTCAACACCTCGTCGCTGCTTGTGTGTGCATGTGTGCATGTGTGTGTGTGTGTGTGTGTGTGTAGCACTGGCATTTTAATGTATTTGTAATTGACCTGAATAAAGTTCAAAACACTCGCAGCGGCACAACGATGACGGCAAGGCAAAATCTACATGCAAGTTGCTGTTGCTGTTGTTGTTTTTGTTGTTGTGTGTAGCCTCAAAATAATAATGATTGCGACAACAACAACAGCAACAGCAACAACAGCAACAACAACAACGTCATTCTATTGCCTACTGCTTCTAGCTGTTGTTCACACACATGCATAACTATACGAAAAAAAAATAAAATAAAATAGAAATAAAATGTTTGCCTCTGATAATTGACAATTGTCTGATTATTATTTCTATGTATTCTGCTCTTGGCTCAACTACACAGATAATTGTAGTTTTTTTTTTTGGTTTTTTTTGTAAGTATACAATTTTTTTTATTTGTAATGTAATATATATATATATGTAATATATATTTAATATTTACTTTTTTCGATTTTAATTTAATTAATTTAAATTTGAATACTCTTTTAATTTAATATGTATATTTAAATGGTTTAAAATTTAATTTTTATTGAATATGTTTGTCTGTAACTGTTTAAAGTAGATCTTTCAGTCTTATTTATTATTTATGTGGCATGTTGTTTTTTTGATTTCAATGCATATTTACTTTCAATTTGGTTAACCTCGCGCTAATTTAAGTTCGTTTCAATTAAAATAAACATGCTGCACATGATCTGAAAACTAATAAAAATGTCTACAAATAAAATGAAAATAACTGCAAACATTTCTCTACGGCGACAACTATAAATTTAAACAATTCAACACAAAACAAAACAAAAAAGAAAACCAAATGCAAAATGAGCAGCAAATCAAATGAGTAAAAAGCTTGTTTACTATCTCACACACACACACACACACACACACACATGCACAAGCACCTTCACTGTTGCTGCTGCTCAGCTGCTGCTGCTACTGTCGCTGCTACTGCTGCGTCGCTGCTTTGGGTGACCCAGTTTCGTCGGTCAATGAACTGAGCGCTGCTGTCGAGGCTGAATTGTTTCAGTGGGTAAGAGTGGGAGAGTGGGAGAGAGAGAGAGAGCGAGAGAGGGTGTCGCCTGGTTCGTGTTTGTTGTTTGCTGTTCGCTTTTTTCTTTTTTTTTTTGGGGGGCGCTCTATTCATTGGAGAGAGTATGAGTTAGTATGTGTGTGCCTGTGTGTGTGTGCGCTAAATTTCGGTTTCGTTTTCATTTTGACGGCGCGTCTTGCGTTTATTTTCGTATCTTTGCAATAGGCAACACTGAAACACACTGAAACACACACACACAGACAAACAAAATGGCGCCTAATAAATATTACTACACACGAAAAGAAATTATGAAAGCCGTAAAAAGAAAGTGTTTCGAAATGGCCAAGTGTGGAAAAAAGTGAAAGTCTGCATATTATGTGCATAATGCACACGGAGATGTGATAAATTAAATAAACACTCAATTATAAATATTTTCTTCAGTTTTTTTTTTCATTTTTTTTTTTTTTGGCGGCAACAATTTCTGGGTCAGAGCTCGCTTTTTCAAAAGTAACTGTAAATATTTCGACATCAGCCCACATACAACATGCTCATGCTTGCATGCATATGCTTGTATAAATTTAAGTTTCCTTGAAAGATAAGGCAAGCGAGGGCAGCGCTGCCGACGCTGAGCGCCAGCAGCGACTGCGACTGCGACATCGACTGTGCTTAAATAGCACACGGTCATTTTTATTATAAACAATTCGAATGTTTTGTTTTTTTTTTGTGCTGTTGCCGAGTTTGAGTTTGCTGCTATTTTGATGGCGGTCGTATCTTAATGTTTTTTATTCTTTTTTTTTGGGTTTTTTTTATTGAAATTTTATTGTTGTTGTTGTAGTGCGTAGAACTAGTTCAAGGATTTGCCAATTTCTAAATTGTTTAGTTCATGTATAATAAAAAAAATTAATTATATATCTTGTATGTGTATCAAACTTTTGAATAACTCTGCTGGACTTATTTTCTTTTTTTTCGTTTCGTTTCGTTTCTTCCCAATGCTTTTTACGCGCCCCAAAAAAAATAAAAAAAAACACACAAAATCCAATCCATCAATTACAACATACACACAGACACACACACACACACGCATACATATGTAACAGCTACTACATATTATTATTATTAAGCACAGGCTGCGACTGCGTGCTGCAGTCGACGTCGCTGCTCTCGCTCTTTCTCTTTCACTCACACTTGGGCAGCAGCATGAACCACTTTCGTTTTCGACAGCAACATGGCCGCCATAATAGAAAGAAGAAGAGCCACAGCGACAGGCAAAAGTCAATGAACGTTGCGAGTGTGTATGCGAGTGTGTGTGTGTGCGAGTGAGCGAGCATTTTTTCTTTTCTTTCTTTCTTTTGGTTATGTTTTTTGATGTATTTTTGTTATGTATTTATGTTGGCCGCTTTCATAATCGATATGAACGTCGCGGCGTTTCCTGTATAATTTTCCGGGCTTGCGTTTAATTTAAACAAATTATTACAAAATTGAATAAGAGCATAACGCAATGAGAAATTGTGATCACGCGAGAGAGCGAACAGAGCGAAGACAGCGAAGAGCAAAGAGAGCGAAGAGAGTGCGATTTGGCCTCGCTGTCTTTCATGAATTTGGGTTAAGTGCGTTCATTCAACTTTTAACACAATTTCGAAATGGCGCACAGTTGTTGTTGTTGTTGTTGTTGCTGCTCCCATTTATCATGCGGGTGTTGGAAATTTGTTTAAACAAAATTAACATATGTATGCTCACACACACACATATACACATGGGTAGAGGCAGCCAACAACTTTTACTTTGCCGTGAAATCGGCGCGCTGAACAAATGTTGCAACACACACACACACACACATTGAGGCAACTAAAATTTCGTTCATGGCTGGTCAATGAACTCGTCGTCGTTAGTCGTTTCTGTCTTTCGTTAAGCTTCGTTATGCTTCGTCGTTTTATGGCATTATAATTTTGAATGCTATTGAGCTTGACTCTCTCGCTGCGAGCGAGAGAGCGAGCGAGGATACGATTGGACGATTGGGCGATTAAAGGAGAGTGCAGTTAAATAGAAAAAGGTTAGGGGTACTCACCATCTCGACTCATGCCGACGGCAATGCACTTTTTCAGGCGACAATATTGACAACGATTGCGATTGATACGCAAAATGCTGCACTGTTGATTCTTGGTGCACGGCCGATATTGGATCTTTTGCTGTATGGAGCGACGGAAGAAACCCTGCAAGTATCGAAATTCAAGTTGCCAATTTTAATACATGTCAATTGTAAATTGTAAATTGTCATTATATTTATAATTATAATTGAGAGCCTACAACGAAATCAGAATTGGAGTGATAATAAAGCAATTGTTTCTCTGTATTTTATATATATCAAAATTGACTCATTTGTCACCTACTATTTTATGTATATCTAAATCAATGTTGCAAGTTTTTCAATTATCTCTCTCTTATATATTTATATATATGCCTGCTGATTCAGAGACTACAACTAAAACAATTACTATTTCTATATTTATAACTGATTAAAATATGATATTTAAATCAAAGTTGCAAGGTTAATAAAGCAGAGTATTTTATTTATTTTATATATATATCAAATTAGACTCTATTGCCACCTACATCGGCGCTGGCCTCCTCAATTGCTGACTTGTTGCTGCTGTTGTTGCTGCTGCTGCTGTTGCTGTTGCTTAAGGCCGTGTCCAGTTTCTCGTCAAACTTCTGACAGAGATAGTTCAGCTGGGAGGCTTCCAGTCGCTGATGGTGCTGTTCGCACAGCTCATCGTCACAGCCCGAATCCTGAGCATCCATATCCTCCAGCTGTTTCTGCTGCTGCTGATCGTCATCGCTGCTGCTATTGCTGCTGCTGCTGCTGTTGCATGTGCAACAATTGCCAATGCTGTTGGTCAGCGATTGAGTGCTTGAATTGCTGAGCAGCGAACAATTGCTGTCGGAACTGTCGCGACGCTGTTGTTGCTGTTGTTGTTGTTGCAACTGTTGCTGCTGTTGTTGTTGCAAGTGCAGCTGCTGTTGCTGCTGCTGTTGTTGCTGCTGCTGTTGCTGCTGCTGTTGTTGCTGCTGCTGCTGAGTTTGTTGGCGCAACAAATTGGCAATTTCTTTGTGTGTTTGCGCGGAAAAAGGACTATCACAATGCAGTTGATTCAGCTTGTTGCTGTTGCTGGTGGGTCTGGTTGCAACTGTAGCTGCTGTTGCTGCTGCTGCTGCTGTGTTTGTTTCCGTTTTTTCCTCATGTTGCTGCTGCAACTCGCGTTGCTTCAACTCGCGCGCATAGCGTATTTTCTTCCAGGGGCATTGATATTGCTCGTAGCCACTGCCATCCTCAACAACACCAGCACCAGCACCAGCAGAAGCAACTGTTGCTGTTGCAGTGAGTTGAGCATCGTCATCGCTATTGGGACAATCCTCGTCAATGCCCGATTCGCTGTCATTTGGCTTTGGTGTTGCTGTTGCTGTTGCTGCTGTTGCAATTGCTGTTGCACTTGGCTGTTGCAGCAACAATACAATCTGTTGTTGCTGCTGACTAATACTATTTGTTGCTGCTGTTGCTGCTGTTGTTATCTGTTTGGTGGTTGTCTTTACTAATGTTGCAGGTGTTTGCTGTTGTTGCTGTTGCTGTTGCTCTTCGTTTTTCAGTCTTTTGCGTTGCTGTTGCTGTTGTTGCAGGTAAACAATTTGTCTGGGTTGCTGCTGCTGCTGCTGTTGCTGCTGCTGCTGCTTGCTGAGCGGCGCAGATTCCAACAGTTTAACCAATGCCGAATGCTGCTGCTTCAACTGTTGGCTCTTGAACTGTTGCTGCTGCTGTGGCAACTGCTGCAGCTGCTGCTGTTGCATATGTTGCTGCTGCTGCTGCTGTTGCTGTGTTGCACTGACAATATGCACATTGCCGCTGCTGTTGCCGGCAGCTGTTAGAAGCACAATTGTTGTGCTGTGTTGCTGCTGATGTGGCAACTGTTGGTGCTGCTGCTGCTGCTGCTGTTGCTGTTGTTCCATTGCACAAACCATTTTGTTATGTTAAAAATTAAACTTTGCTTTTCTTTTTTTGGTACCACAAATGACACTTGAACTCTTTCCTCTGCTCTCCTCTGCTGCTGCTGCTGTTGCTGCTACTGCTGCTGCTGCTGCTGCTGCTGCTGCTGCTGTTGCTGCTGTTGATTTTTGTTGCTCTACAATTTGCTAATAAGGAACATTGCGATTGCTTTTTGCATTTTGCATTTTGCTTTTGCTTTTGATTTGATTTCAACTTGAAATTCAATTTTCAAAATGCACTTTTTACACCAACAAATTTGAGCGCCAAAAAACTTTTGCTGCGCTTTTCACGGAAATGGAAGTCTTTATGATCTCTCTCTCTCTCTCTCTCTCTCATCTTTGCATTTGTATTTGTATTTGTTGCACTTCACTGGCACCAATAAAAATAATAATATATTACTTTATTTGATTATTTAAACTATTTGTTTTGCTATAGCTTTTTTGTAACGTGTTTTTTTCTTTTTGCTCTTTTCTTTTGTAGCCGTTTCAGTTTTGTGTTTCGCGCGCTTTTCTTGCTCTGCACAACCGCTGCCAACGACGAGCAATTTGCGAATGAAAGCAGCGCCAACAGCTCCAACAACTGGTGCCTGCTGCTCGCTGCATGCTTCGGCTCAAGCTCGTCATGCTCGTCGGCTCTCTCTCTTTCTCTCTCTATCCCGCTCGCTTGCTGGCTTGCTCTCTCGCAATGCTCCCGTTTTGCTGCTGGGGTCGTCGTTTTGCTCTCTCTCTCTCTCTCTCGCTCACTGGTGGCTGCTAGCCTCGCGCTACATATTGTTGTTGTTGTTGTTGCTGTGTGTATCAACTGAGGACATTCACTCCAACGCTGCCAACGTCGACGTCGACGCGGGCAGCTAACAATAGACTTCGCTGGCACTGGCACTGCTGCTGCTGCTGCATTTGATGGGGGCGCTGTGTTTATTGTAAACAATTCTTGGAACACCTACGCGACGCAGATTTAAGGTAGCTTCTGCTACCTGCCACCTGACTGATCAGCTTTGTTTGATAACAGCAGCAACAACAGCAAACATATTATTCTATGTAGGTGCTTTTTTCTATTTTCTATTTTTTTTTTTCTTTTTTTGTTGGTTGAGTGACAAATAAGATTAATTGATATTGCGTAGGGGTTGGGCGGCAAGTTGGGGGCAGATATTGGGGGCAAACAGTGCTATCAACGCGTATGACAGGCATAAGAGGATCTTAGATGTGGCACAGCTCTCGACATGAACTCAACATGAACTAATATTTTTTTTTTTTTTTTTTTTTTGGTGGGTGTAACATTCCCGACTTTCCACAGATTGTCGAGTGTTTGTTGTGGGGGGATTATGATTTCCAGCACGGCTACTTTGTTGTTGTCAACCGATTAATCATGAAACTTTAGTTGCTATCGTTAGAAATTGCTGACAAAAACTGTTGCCCCAATTTAAGTAAGCCGGGGGGGACTACTCAAAAATATCATTAAAAAATAAATGTAAATGTATATATATATATACATATATATATATTTGTATGCTACACATTATGGTTGTCAAGATGAAACGCCTCGTTATTAATAATACTCTTATTAAATAATATTTCGGCTCGCGCGCCCCGTTTGTATGTCATTTCTTTCTTTCGTATTTACTTTTTTAAGTTTTTGAGGCCACCGAAAACGTAGACAACAGAAACGTAGCAGCCCCGCTCTCCTCCCCCCCGCTCCCTTCGCTGCTACATACAACAAATGCCCAAACGTAACAACGACTCATGCTGGAAGGCTACGTAACCGAAACGACGTCGACGACGACGTCAACATAATACGACGACGTCAGCAGAGGTTGGCTGGCTGACTGGCAGTTCAGTTCAACGAACCCCGCCATTGTCGTGACCCACTTTTCGGTCAAATACCTCCAAATGTGGAGCTGCTGAGCGGCCAAGCCGAGTGGCCGAGCAAACACGAATGAGACGGAGCCGTCGAACAATCGAACGAACGAACGAACGAACGAACGACCGCGCGTACAAACAAACGAACGACAGACTCGCGCTCTCAATTTGCTGTGCGCTCTCTCAGAGTGCATTTGCATGCGAATTTGTTCTTGTCAGTCGGCTGCTGCTGCTGCTGCAGTTTCCAAGCCTTTGCTTTAGCTTTTTGGTTTGGAGTTCATTTGAGCTGGCGGTCGGTCAACGACACAGAAACCTCAGGCGGACGGGCGGACGGGCGGACGGACGGACGGACGGACGAATGCATGTTTTGTGGGCTTGGCGGCAGCGTCAAAGGCAAAGGCAAAGGCAATTGCAATTGCAACGGCGACTAGATGGCTAAAATGCGTTCAAGGAAATCTTTGGCAATGCAACACGCTCAAAATGCAGTGTTGTGTGTTTTTTTTTTATTTTTCTTTTTTGGGATAGGCTCACTTAAAGTTACATCAGGCGCCAGCAGTTGATCTCTCTACTTTTGTTATATAATTGAAAACGACAAATAGTGCAAATTAATTGAGCAAAACTTAAGAGTTGAGTTCAATGCACTCAGCAGCAGCAGCAGCAGCGACAATTTGCACTCATTTCAATGGCTCGCAGCCCCCGCAAACGAACTTCGGCCAAGTCGGGATTTACTTTTTTTTTGCAAATAGCAACGAAGAACTTTCGGGAACAGCTGTGCCCGTTTCGAGTTATTTTCTGCTCTCTTCGTGGGCTTCTTCTTCTTCACCTGCATAGGCTCTCTGTCTCTCAACGGCGCCTCTCTCTCGCGCGCTCTCACTGTGTGTGTGTTGTGTTTGACTCTCTTGGTCTGGCTGCCAAATGTGAATGAACTCTGCTGGCAGCTGCAATGCGAATAACAAGTTTCAAAGGAAAGTGAGAGCATTTCACGTTACACACATTCGTCTAGCTGGCTTGCGTACACATACACACACATATAAACGAATGCATGTGTGTGTGTTGGGCAACGTGCCGTAAAGCAGCCAAGCGTTTTTCGCCCACCCCCCATTGCATGATTCGACATCGTCATCATTATCATCATCATCATCAACAGCGTCATCATCATCACCATCATCATTATAATTCATTTTTTGTTTGTTAACAATTTTTGGGGCTGCTTTGGCGCAACTCAGCCATGGCACACTTGGGCCCCCTCCCCGAGCCCCCTGTTAGAATGATGGGGCGGATGCGGGGATCACTTGGGATCAGTCGAAGCGTTCTTTTTTTAAATAGCCATCGACTCATCGAAAACTCATGAATGAAAAGCAAAGCGAATATATATATATATATATATGTATATATATGTATGTATATATATGTATGAGAATATATCTACCTGTTGAAGCGATCGCTTGTTGATCAGTTGAACAATTGACTATGACTACTTGACCTGCATTCCATTTGGCTACTTGAAGTCACTCAGCTTGGACTACTGTCAGAACTTGACATCAATATGAATTCCACAGAATTTGTTTTCACTCGAATTTATGCTGTTCTCGCTTAAGGCGACGATTTAAAGGATACTAAAAGTGTAGCTTGCCTTTAATCATACTCGAATTGATTCTTCTTTCTTGTAAACTTATAAATATTTCTTATATTTTTTAATCGAATTTTTAATTTCTTGTATTTTTAATATTGATTTCAAATTTAATTTAATTAATTTTTTACTTTGTCGTATTTTTAATAAACATTTTTAATTTACAATTAATGTGCATTTTTAATAAGAATTCAACATATTATATTAAATTTTATTTTAAATACAATTAAATCAATTTTTGAAGTTTTCAACTTTATTTATTATTTTTGTTTTTTTTTTATGAAATCTTCTATCTCTGCCAATCTCTGGCTTACTTTAGTACGCCCACAACTTGTACTTTGATTGCTCACTTTTAAGCTTTAAGCGGCTTCTCCTTTTCCCCTGGTTTTTCTGGTTTTCTGCTATTTTATGAGCTTTGGTTCTTGCTGCTGGATGCGTAAGCAATTAGCACGTGCCGCGAGTGAGGCACTCAGAAAGAGCCGGAACTTTATGGCGCTTTACAGTTGATTCGACATTCGTCATGCTTGGCTTGGGAGTTTATACGACTGCCTCAGAGTCTGAGTTATGCCGGTGGCAAGCCGCTGCTGGGAATTGAATTAGTAAGTGGCAACACCAAACTGTTTTCAGCTCATATTTGACTTGGCCAGCGAGCGAGCAGCGACGATTAGTTGACGAAAATATGCACAATAAATAAATGATGTTTAACTTTACAAGTCGAGCAGCGGCGGCCAATGCTAGCCATTCAGCGCATTCAGGTCAGAGTTCAACGCACCGGGTGCACAATACCGTGCAAGGATATTTCGTACGCTTGGCCAACACACACACACACATACACACAGCGTGTCCCACCCCCCAACCCACCCACTCACAGCAGCAGCAGTAGCAGCAGCAGCGCAGTCGTCAGCGTCGTAGTAAAAAGGAACACGAGGTCAGCAGCACGTAGCCAGTCAGCCAGCCAGCCAGCCAGCCAGTCAGCCAGCAGCTAGCTATATACACATTTCTCACACAACTCACCCCCAAACAGAGCAGCAGCAGCAGCAAGTGTTTCCCTTTGGCCTCGTGCTTATTGACGTCACTTCTGCAGTTGGCTGCTGCTGTTGCTGCTGCTGTTGCTGCTGCTGCTGGCTGAGTTCGTTCAACTCGTTATGCTGGCTCATGGTCGCCTTGCCATGCACTCGAGTTGGGTTGGGGTCGGTTTTCGGTTTTAGGTTTTGGGTTTTCGTTTTTTGGGGTTGGTTGAGCCACACAGGAAATAATGCTGCTATCAAGTGAAAGCACCTGGATAGCCATTAATCATAGCCAATCAATAATTTGCCAATTAACCGTTTGGGCAAATAATTGAGGTAAATATCTAAATGACTTACGTAGATCGGTAATTGCTGCAATTAATGTACTTATTGACTTTGGATACTAAATATCTTAATCCATTTACAAACACACCACGAATTCAAAGCTAAACATTCCCAGCAACAAAACTGTGGCATTTGTGGCAGCAGGAGGAGGG